GATTATCGAATATAAATAGTTTCTGGCGCTCGCTAAAAATGAAATTTGCCCGAATAAATAGGCGCAAACATGTATATATCTCTTTTCTTGTAACAAACTCATATATTCCAAACATAAATATTCCTTGTAAAGACCTATATATAGACGCATAGGAAAATAACATGCATACAAATTGGCTTTTCTTTTTTTATACTATAGTCGACGCACCTTGAATGTTCTATCGGTTATTTAAATAAATTACATAATAAAATTTGGATAAATTAAAAAATACCTGTATTTCTTTTTGAGTTGGTTGGGGGTACTCTCATAATTTTTCTTTTTTAACTTCACAAACGACAAGATCACAACTTTGGATGAATTCTAAGCATACAATTTTAGCAATTACACGTATGCAGATATTTTTTTATAAAATTATTATTTTTATTCAAATTGCAATAAATAATAAAAGAAATATTTTTTTCCTAATATACATGATAGTAGTAATATTTTTTTAAAAATTCTCCCTATTGATATCTGTCACTGACTCTCATAAAAATAAAATAAAAATAAAAATATAGAGAAAAAGCATCTGTGGGGAAACCCTAATTTCGTCGATTCAGTTTCATTTCAGCCTCGCATTACCTATCTCTCTATTTTTCTCTCTCTCTCCCTCTCATACTCTGTCTATATTCAATTCCCCAATCTCTCTCTTTTTTTCTCTCTCTAAAAATTCCCAACTCATCCGTGTTCTCGAAAATTCTTCGCCGGTATAACGAATCCTCGATCGATCCGTCCACTCCTCTTCCCTTACAGGTATGCTTCTATTGATCTTCTGTAGCGGATTGATTATTATTTTCTCCTTTTTTCTTCTTCTGATTTTTTATTATTATTTAGATTAGATGTCGGTTTGGAGGATTGATAAATTATTAGGAATTTTCGTTTACTTTCTACGAAGGGGAATTTGGCGCTTATGTTGGTTATATAGCCATGTAAATTTTCCTTGTATTGATTTGTGTTTTTGGTCATGATTAGTGTTAGGGAAAATAAAATGATCCATGTGTAAATGAATTTTCCATGGATAAAGGAGGATGGATACGGTAAAATTCGGGGCCCGGGAAAAAATAGTCAAATTATGTTTAATCCTCAAAATGATGGATGGCGGACATGGAAAATGATGGGCTCCTGATAGAGCAGAATGGATATAGAGTGATTCATATTATTGACAATCATTGGATTTAGGCATTCGGGCGTAGTTGTTATTGTTATGTATGGATAAAATAGTCCAATTATGTTGAATCCTCAAAACAATGGTAGTTATGGGACTTGGAATGGATGGAACTCAAATCCAGCAGAATGGATATGGAAGATTTTTTTTAATGACCGAGAAATCCGTCTGGGCCAATCCTTAGGACCAACCGCAGCCTACGAATAATAGAGGATTCATATAGCTGACACATCTAATTTGGATTGAAGCATTTAGGGGTATTCATTGTTGTTATTATGCAGGGAAGTTGTGGTTTTATGGGGTAAGGATGGGTTCGGCTGGAGAAGCTGCCAAA